TATTCAAATGTCTCATCTTCATAGCCAATAAAATAACACTTCCTTGACTTAGTCTCAAGCTTATTACGAACATCAGGATTAATGAGAATATAAGAACGACAACCAAAAGTCATAAGGTGAGAAAATTTTACCTCTTTCCCACTCCAGACTTCTTCAGGTAATTCATATTTTAATGAAACAGATGGCCCCCTATTGATCAAATAAATTGCAGTATTAATCGCTTCTGCCCAGAAAGTAGGTGGTAGTCCGACGTGCAATCTCATGCTTCTAGCCCGCTCATTAATGGTCATGTTCATGCGCTCTGCAACACCATTTTGTTGTGGTGTTCCTGGAGTGGTCTTCTCCATTCTGATTCCTTGAGCTACACAGTACTCCTTGAACTCACCATCAATGTACTCACCACAATTATCAGACCTCAGACATTTCAGCTTCAAGCATGTCTCTGTCTCAACCATAGTCTTCCAAGTCTTGAACACACTGAATACATCAGATTTATACTTCAAGAAATAAACTCATATCTTTCTGCTGTGATCATCAATGAATGTGATGTAGTAACGAGAGCCTCCAAGAGATGCCACTGGAGAAGGTCCCCACACATCTGTGTGTACAAGATCCAGTTTTCCTGCCTTTGGCGTTCTGCCACCTTTCAAGAAACTGATATTCCTCTGCTTCCACATAATGCAACTCTCGCACATATTGAAATCAACTGACTTCAATTCTGGTAGCTTGCCTCTGGACTGAAATTCTTTCATACCTCTTTGACTCATGTGGTCAAGTCTGCATTTAAAAAAAAAAAAAAAAAAAAAAAATTGTGCTCTTTGCAACAGTAGTATCTCATCCTTCTCAAGCTCTAACAATTAGAAATGAAAATGAAAAAGCATACAAATTTACCCCGAGCCAATACCAAAGCTTTTTTAGCAATCTTCCAGGTACTATCTGACAAAACTATTGAATGTCCACATTCATCAAGCTGCCCAACAGAAATGAGGTTCTTCTTCAGTTCAGGAATGTGTCTGACATTTTGCAGAGTCCACTTGTTTTTATTTAGAAGTGCAATGTCAATATCTCTCATTCCAACCACATTCAGAGTTTCTCCATCTGCCAGATATATTTTTCCAAAGTCACCTGCAACATAATTCCGCATCAATTCCCGATGGAAAGTTATATGGAACAAAGCTCCTGAATCCAGTATACAGTCATCAATAGGACTATGAACTGTCAGCAGTAGTGCATCATGTGATTCTTCAGTTACCACATTCGCACTGTCAATCTCCTTCTTCTTAAGATTCCTGCAGTTCCTCCTTATGTGGCCAGTTTTGCCACAATTTCAGCAAGCTACTTGTTTACCAGGCCTTGACTTGCTCCTGCTTCTGTTCTTTGATTTTGATCTTCCCCTGTTTGAGTTCATGTCAAGTGATCTCCCTCTGGAATCAACATTTAGTGC